CAAGGCTGAATGTTATGTGAATTGTTATTACTGTTGGTGGATATGTATAGGTATGGGTAAGCAGGTGGTGGTATCTAGCTCATGGAAGGCGTTAATTGGTGGAGTGTTGTATTGTGGCTTGGGGGTTTCTCGCCAAGAAGTAGCAGTGTGCGTGCTGTTCCTGTCGATTGTTTGTTGATTATGGGAGTTTGCTGCATTATGGGAGATTTAAAGTAAAGAAGTGTAAAAACATGGAATGACTATAAACGAAATATATCTGTACACAACAATTTTGTATAAACACCTTGTCTTTCTGGATAATCACCATGTTTGGCTAAGATCTTGAGATTATTTCTTGACCAAACTCTTGATAAAGCAATGTTATAAAATAGTGAATTTTTAAAATTGAAGTATCAAAAGCTTAAACATCAACTGTCTTTGTGTCACTTTTTCACCTAATTTTCTTTTTACTTCTATAATGGTATGAACTCTTCTTACTCTACCCTAAAGTAATAACAAAGCATTGGGTCCATTATCACCAAGAACAGAAATGGTGTAATATTTTATTCCCCTAGCTGGTGTTGTATATATACAGGACTGTTTAGTTTATTTAATGATTTAATATTTAATGATTATTTAGTTTTCATAACAAGAATGTTAAAAGTAATTATTTTAAAGGTGATAGTTATGACAAATTTCGTTATATAACTCCGTAAGAGTCGTACATTTTGTGTGTATAGTTCAGTTTTTGTAATATTTTTGACATCATTTTTCTCAAAACCTCTATGTTTTTCTTGCTATGTGAGTATTGTTACATCATAGCATTTCCTAGTTTGTAGAAAATGCCAGGCCTTTCTTGGGCAATGTGTATATGTATGTATGTATGTATAGGGACAAAACGAGCATAAATCATGTGAAGTTCAGTCAAAAAAAAAGTTAGTTAGTGGAAGAAAACATGAAGTCAGCCTTAACAGGTGATGTCTGTAGTGTGTTTTGCAGGTGTATTGTAACAACAGAGATAGGAAAAATATTTTGTCATGTCAATTGGTAACTAAAGTGGACTTTTGATGAAAAAAAAGAAACAATTATTTAAAGCTCTGAATACAACTGTGGTAACAAGCAAAAGAAGTGAAGTTCAGTCAGAAACCGTTAAGTTAGTGAAAGTGAAGTTAGACTGCATGATTGTTAATTTAGCTGTAAAGGCCAATATTTAAAGTGAGTTTAACAGACATAAGGAGAATAATTAGTCTTGTCAGAGGGAGTTCTAAGGTAATTGAACTCACCTGTATGGACTTTGATGAAAGACAGTTATTTAAAATTCTGGATACAACTGTGGTAATCCATGGAGTAACGTAAGTGAATCTATTGCAGATTGTATAGGAAGAAACAGAGTAGAGAAAAATAATTTGTCTTGTCATTTCCATTCTAAAGTAATTGAAGTGGGCTGTGTGGACTTTTGACAAGAAAAGTGAATTATTTAAAGTTTTAGATACAACTGTGGTAACCTACAGTGTAAAGAATTTTTGTACATACGTTTGACTTCTATTGAATATATTATTTTAAAACAAGTGGATTGTGTGCTGTCTGTTTATTGTTCGAACTTATCGCCAACAAGTCACAGACACCTACTGTAAAAGAATCCCAACCCATATATAAAACCCTTTTAGGTAAAGTATTGAGTTTCCTGATTTGAATTTATTATTAAATGCTTTTTCATCCCACTTATTTAGTGGGAACTGTTTAAGGACATTTTTTCATGCTTCTTGGTATGTCACAGTGGTACATCATAAAAGATGTATATATGTGATGTGAAATCTTTTCTTCCCCCATAGATCAGCCACCACCAACATCACACACCAGCTCCTTTACATGGCAAGGTGCAACAGAAATGAAACCAGGTCTAAGCTCAACAGCCACTCACAACTCTGTTAATATGGAAAGTAAAGGGCACAGTAAGGAAAATGAAGATGTTGAAGTTCTTTCCACAGATTCATCAAGCAGCTCTTCCAGTGATAGTCAATAACAGTTATGTTTTGTTTTTTAGAAAAGTCATAATGGGCCATGTATATAGCACATATGTCGGATATTCAATGCAATGGATATATACTTCATAACTCACTTAATTAGAATAAAGTTTTATTAAGAAACATGCAGTTTCGGATTGCCTTTGCTCAACTCATAGAAATAATGTTCATAAAGTGAACAGAATAATTGAAAATTATATGAAGCACAATAAGTAATTAAAAATTTCTTTAAACCATTTTTGGTGCTCTCTGGCTATAGTAACAATTTGAAAGTGTTCCTTTTTTTCATTTGTTTCTTGTTTCAAAAAATACATTATTTGCAGTAGAGAAAAGTAATCTATACAGAAATTCATGAACACAGTATATGTAGTATTTACTAAATATGTAACTGAAAATGCATTCTCACCAGAGTTTTATTATTATCATAAGGATTACTACATGTGCTTACCATTACTCTGTACAAACCAATATATTGCTTTTTAACATATAATTTAGAAAGAATATTATCTATAATTTGGGTAGAAGTGATTGAGATGTACTTTCTGTTTAATATTTATCAACATTTCTAATTTAATGTTTTCATAATGTATGAGTTACTATGATTTAAGCATAGTAGTACCAGGTATGTGGCCTAGTGGTCAGCATGCTAGGACTGTGATTCTGAGGTTTGTGGCTCATTGCTGAAAATTCATGCTCCACACTCCGGGACTATGGGTGGGCTATAAAGTCATATATTTATGTTTTTTGCAACACCTTTCTTCAGGTTGCACTGCTTGTTGGTTATGTTTATATGTTGCTCTTAAGTATATAGTCATATCTTACAGAAAGTTAATGCCTGAAAGATGAATACATTTTATTTCTGTTTTATTTGGTTGAACTTTCTTCTTTCCCCAACCTGAATTTTTAGTGATGTATCATTATCAACCTAAAGAATGTTTCTTGCAAAGTAGGAGAAACATATTTTCTTTTTATTAAAAACAAATGTGACAATCAATTCCAGTAAAAATTTCTAGATAAATTAAGTCTGGTATTTTCAGTTAAAACTGGAGCCAACCAGTAAAGTATTAAATTTGCAAAAAGGGAGATTTGGAAAGACTTGCTTATAGGAGAATAAATTTAATCGCGACAGCAAAGAAAACACTCAATATAAAGTTTAAAAAAGCTTTCGTACACACTCACAAAAAGTGTTTGGATCTTGCGATACAATTGACCAGTTTCTATAATATTGTATCAAGACTTATGGCTGCTGGAGCAGAGGAAGAACAGTTCTTCATGTGTCAAGAAGTAACAAAATTGTATCAATACTACACTTTCAGGTCAAGCCAAAGTTCTAGTACAGTATATTAGGTCGTCAAGAAATTAATATCGCATTGTGGAACACTTTCACTAACCACCCCACAAAAAACGTACATCACCTATAATAGTTAAACAAACCACCTAAAGGTCACGTTAGTGTAGCCTGTATAATGTTTAAAGTTTAGTGTACTCTAATACCTAACAAGGGAAACAATGCCTCGGCACCCACAAAGAATATCAAATAAGTTTATGGAAATGTTTTGAATGTTCGTAAGTGTCAATTATGGTTCAGCAAATTTCTTTCAGGTGACTTTAGCCTTAAAAATTGTTATGGCAGGGGCTAACATGTT